GTTTGCCTGGCACTGGCAGGCGGGCGGAAAGGAGCGGCTCTTGCATTGCGCCCGGAAGGTGGGCTGCTGCTGGCTTGCTGGATGGGGCCTAGGCTCTACGGCCAGCTCCCCTGCGCGCCCAGCTCGCCGCCTGTACCTACGATGCCCCATCCGGGCATCCCATCCACTGGTACCTTACCTATCATGTACCTCATGTACGGGAAGGGGAAGTTGACAACGGTACCTAGCCGGTGGTTTTAGGTAATGGATGCGTAAGTCGGCTGCCTACTTGACGCCGGACGCGAGAACCCGTCTCTCTTATTCCTGTCCCTTCTTGGTGGGGTTGAGTGTGAGGCGAGCCAACCCAGGCAAGTGCCTGCGTCTCTACCTACGCGAAGACGACGTGCCCTCAGCAACCTTGGCTGCCCTGTACGAGGCACACTTACCTGGCTGTTCTTGCCTCTACCTTGGGTACCTTGCCTTATAGCGGCCAATTGGGCGCGTACCTAGTACTAAGGTAGGTACCTACCCGGGCTCCTCGGTGAACTGTTAACGGTGTGCTGTACCTTGTGCCACTGCCATTATTGAGAGAGAGAGAGAGAAAAGAGAGAGAGAGAGTCGACGGTCCCGACGTCCTTTGACGAGACACGGGACTGTAGAGCTTCTTGCAAGACGTCGTTCCCGGCGTCGCACGTTCCGATCCGTCCATACTTCCGGACCTGCTCGGCCTGGACAAGCGTATCGTCGAGTACGGTACCCGGGCTTGCCGTTGCGTTGCCCGCCGGCGCGGGACCGGAGCCCCACGTCGCAGGGGTCCGGCTGCCGGGCATGCGCTGCCGTTGACCTTTCCAAGCAGGCCAGGTTCTGTCCGTGTTGTGTGCAGGGGCCTGGGCAAGTCGAGGTAATTCATGCCAACTCCCCGAGTGAGCGCAACACTCTCACTATGCCGCCGATTTGCGCCACTAACACATGGCCCGGAGCAGGCCACTGGCCGTCACGTTTCCCTTCCCACCTCTGAATTCACACACACCCCATTTCACACGCACACTTACACAAAATCTCACCCAGAATAATAGATGAACGACACAGCCTGTCCACAAGCATCGCGGGCTCGCCGGATCGCGTGTGTAGGGTAGACCGCCCGAGGTCAAGCGGGTGGGGCCCCCAAACCCGCTGTAGTGGCCCCCTGGTCGTCGAACGAACGACACCTCATGCCTTCCAGCTCGTAAATTTACACGACATGCTTCTCTACCTGCGATCCCCGTAGACCCTCTGCTGTACATACCCAGTTCCGCCGTCCGCCCCCCGATGCAGCGCGCCGTCGCGAGCAAGGCACTGCCGCGGGCCCGGGTCGTCTTCTCCGGCATACAGCCCACCGGCGTGCCCCATCTCGGCAACTATGTCGGTGCCCTGCGGCAGTGGCTTCGCCTGCAGCACCAGGAGAAGCCCGACACCAAGCTGATATACTCCATCGTCGACCTCCACGCCATCACCGTTCCGCAAAACCCCGAAAGACTCAGGAGGCACAAGAGGGAGGCACTGGCTGCCTTGCTCGCCATAGGCATCGACCCCGACCGCTGCACCCTGTTTTACCAGTCTTCGGTCGGTGACCCTCGGTTCAACCACTCACTCGCCCACCCACTCACTTGCTTCCTCGAGTCTGTTGCTCCATCATTCCTCCGACTGACACTGGCGGGCGGCAGGTCCCGGCGCACTCGGAGCTCATGTGGATTCTCTCCTGCACGGCATCCGTCGGTTACCTATCGAGGATGACGCAGTGGAAGGTGAGCGCACAGCATATGTCACGGCCCATCGATCACCACCAGCTAATGCCCAGCTCCCGACGCGCAGCAAAAACTCAGCCTGTCGCCTTCATCCCACATCGAGGACCAGCCCGTCAGTTCCCGCCTGAAACTGGGGCTCTTTGCCTATCCTGTCCTCCAGGCCGCCGATGTCCTCGTCCATCGGTACGCGTTGCTCCTCGCAGCCCGCCCCCCCCCCCAAAAAAAAGCCGTCGCGAGCTGACAGCCTGCACCGCCAGAGCCACACACGTACCCGTCGGCCACGATCAGGCCCAGCATCTGGAATTCGCGCGCGAGTGCGCCACCAACTTCAACCACGCCTACGGGCCCTGCCTCGTGCAACCGGAGACCATGATCCGTACGCAGCTCCCCAGGTCAGCAATGCAGAGTCCCAGCTGACACGCGCCTGCAGCGCCCGTACACCGCATCATGTCACTCACAGATCCCACTTCCAAAATGTCAAAGTCGCACAAGAGCGAGCGCTCGCGCATTCTCATCACAGACACACCGGATGAGATTCGTGCCAAGATCTCCTCCGCGCTCACCGACTCCCACGCTGGCATCTCGTACGACATGGCCACGAGGCCAGGCATCTCCAACTTGCTCGACATCCTGTCAATATTTGATGCGCAGCAGCGGACCCCCGCGGAGCTGGCCAACGCCTACAGCCAGACTCATCCCCGCGAGTTCAAGGGCATGGTTGCAGACTCTGTCACCCAGGGTCTCCATGGCATCAGGAGCCGCTTCCTCGAGCTCTTGGATAGCGACAGTACCTACCTTGACTATGTCGAGGCGCAAGGTGCGCGCAAGGCGAGGGAAAATGCGGAAGAGACGATGGAACTGGTCAGGTCCGCTGTAGGCCTCTGAGACCGTCCCAACCTGCGCAGCTCCCACCTCGTGGACACTGAAACCTTGTACAACCCTGTAACAGTACATGTACATTAAATGTCACCGCTACATCACCATCGCGAAAGGACCGGGTAGAGACGTGCGAAAAGCACATCCTCGTGCTTGCACATCCTCGTGCTACTCTGCAGCTACCGCTTGATACACCATGTTGCTCGTCTAGTCTATGCTGGCGCGGCTTGACGTGGCACTGTCGGATCCCCAACGTGCCTCCATGGGGTTTGTTTGGCAAATAATGTCCTCGGCCAAGTCCTCTACCCACTCTCTCGCACACAACCCTCGGAGGTGCCGTTCAGGGAGGCCAACTTGGCCCGAGGTGTTCACGAGACGTATGCAAAGTTGCTACCGCGGGCCGACAGCCAAAAGTCACGGACTACCTGGTTGGTCGCCCGTGCACCTCTTAAGCTGGAACCACGTATGTCATGTCAGCGTACTGGTGTTGCCGACCCTGGCCTGCGGGCGGAAAGATGAGAATATGGATACTGCGTACCTGATGACCTTCTTCACAAACGCGGATTTCTGTTCAGCACTGACTTTGCTGCTCGGAAAGGAGCCATCGTTGAGCGCGGTCTGCAGCCAGTCTTTGGCACCAGCATGCCTGCTGACGAGCTTCTTCAAAGGCTCGCTTAGTTTATCGAGCTCGCTCCGGGAAGCGTTCCCCCCGAAATTCCTGGCCAGACTCTGGGCCAAGAGTGGCCCGAGGGTCACCATAGAGCCCTTGATGGCCTGCTGCAGTTCTTCGTTGCCGGTGAGGCTCACATAAGTAGACTAGCAGACCAGTCAGCTACGGACCGCAGTTCAAGCATACAAGAACGCAAGCGTCGGGTTGTCCCTTACCCAGAAATCTGCAGCTGCACCTTTGGGCAGCGGTTCCTTGCCGTCTAACACGCGCAGTGTAAACAAGAAGAGGAACTCGGTGGCGTCAGACGGTTGCAACGATAGCACAGTTACAGGCGACTTGCTCAGCAAGCGGGAAGCGAACTCGATTCCGTTCTGCGACAGTTCAGGATCGTTTTCCGGTTCTGGCTTTTTGTGAGTAGGGTTGATCACCAAGTTGGCCGCCGAGGTTAGGACGCACCTGAAAGCTGCCTGAGGAGTCCAATATCCCATATAAGGAGCGTGGAAAATATAGCTTCGCGGCTGGGGACTTCATGGGACTGCAGTGAGCTCACGAACGAGCACGCCGTGCTCACGAAAACGCCCACTGTAGTCGTCGACGCCGTGTGGCTGGTTAGAAATCGGGTCACCATGTCTGGCTGGAGAACAAACGGACCCGGCTCATTCTCCGAAAAGCCGCTACGCAGGACACTGCTGATCAGTTCGATCATTTCAGAGCTCTGTCCAAACGCTCCCTCCATTTCCTGAAGGATTCTCATGATCTGCGCATGTAGCATTTCCAGCCCGTCGCTCGATACTTGAAGCTGACGGCCAGTTGAGTCAACGTCGATCGAGGAATCAGATGGCGATTGAAACCCCTTCCCAATGCTGACAAGGCTCCTCAGCGCTCTCAAGCCTAAATGCAGGCTAGGGTGCTCGTCCGATGTGCTGTCAAAACACCGTAGCCCCTGACACGGATTTTGGCCAGCGGCAGACGATGCATCGAAGTGACGGGAGCGATAAACATCGCGGAAGATGAACTCCAGAAGCCTCGCACATGCCCGATATCGCTGGCAGGAATCCGGTATAGCTTGCGCAACGGAAGCAATGGCTCCTAGCACCTTCTCACTGGAGATGCAATCGAGCTGGCGACCATCAATCAGGCCTGCATACTCGTCCAAGAATCCTTCCGTCTCTGAATACAGGTGGTGCCGACAAGAAGAGCACAGTCTCAGGATAGACTTGGATGCAGATGCCGCCATAGACTGCTCACTTAGCAAGGTGAACAGGAGGCGCAGTGCTGGAGCGAGGAACTCCACATTCCTCTCAAAGTATTCGTTGTACTGTTCAATCAGGGACAGGCAAGTCTGTCGTGATCTGGGATGGACCCCCCCTTGGCTGTTGTCCCGAAGGACGGAGAAGAGGGGCGACGCAAAGACCGGAGTGAGGGCCGCGTCGAACCGAACGTCGTCCCTGCCGCAGTCTGCCAGGCCGCCGAGGCAAAATGCGGCAGCTTCTAATGGAAGCCAGGCCGACCTTGATAGGGCTGAAAGGGTGAGATCGGCAAATGTCGCCACAAGTTGAGGGCCGGCCAGTGTGTAGGCAGATTGAAGAAAGTCAATAACGTCCTTGCGAGCATCGTTGAAGCCGATGCGATCCACAGAATCCCATTGGCTGTATTCCTCGGAAGGGGGATACGTTATCTTCTGCCAGGCCCTTGAAACGGCCTCGAGGAGCTGGGCCATGGCGGAGGCTGCCCACGGCGACGACGTCTCGTGTCCGTCTAGGTGGATGTAGTCCGCCATTGTTTCCGCGAAGGTTGACCAGAACTCGACCGCAGGCACGAATATCCTGTCCTCGGCGACCGGATAGCCAACTGCTGTTAGGAGGCCACATAACAGTGAGAGGAGGTGCTGACCGTTTCCATCGCTGCCCTGGATAAGGGCCTCCGCCTTTGCCTCCCCGAAGCCGAGCAGCAGATGCCCAAATTGAACAGAATCGAAATCAAAGTCTCCTTGGAGTAATTTCTCGTACCGCTCTTGAGCCCACGGGGCTGTAAAGAGAGTGGCCAGATATTCGTATTGTGTGTTGGTCATGAGTGACGGATAGTTTGACAACACGTCGACGATAAGTTCCGCCGACGCATCAAACAGAGAAGTGTTGGAGAGGGACGAGATAACGGCTTCAAAGAGCGGCCGCAGAGACGCCGCTATATTGCCGTGTCCTGGCGATGCTCTCTGCGCAAATGTGGCCCAGGACTGAATTGGACAAGAGGTGAGCCATGGACGTGTGACAAGTTGGGAAGCGCGGGGGGCGACGAGGCATACCTGCAGGCATTTGACGGCATCGCCGTGGGCAGCGGGATCTCCAAGGTGAGGAGACAGACACACCGCCATGAGGGCGACTGCGTCCGTTGTGTTCTCCATCACCGCATCGTACAAGCCGGCGCTAGAACAGACATTCAGCGGAAAGAACTATGCCTCGGGGGAGCCAGATCTCACTTGTTTGCTGCATTCATATCGAACCTAGCGGCATCCTCCATGACGCTGGTCACCACCCAGGTGACGGCTTGAAGCTGGGCAGAGTCCAGGCGAGCAAGAATATCCGCCGTGCCGACGGTCTCATCGACGGAGGAAGGGTCCAGAGATTGACGAGCAGCGAGGCACACGAGGAGATGGCGGATATATGCAGGCCAAAGTCGATGGAAGTGGAGAAAGAAGGTGGCAATGGCAGACGAGAGCTTTCTTGATACAAGAGAGCCGGAACGTCCGCGGGCAAGGGAATGCGAATACCATTCCACGAGCCGCACAAGAAGCTCCGTGGCGTCGCCATCGCTCAAAGAGGAGCTGTGAAGAAGTAAATTAGCACCCAAGTTTCCTCGGAGCGGACCGTGATGCGCACCTCTCCTTATTCAGCTTGATGATGACGGTGAGGGCGCCGAAGAACTTAACCTTGTCATCGGGCCGCTCCAGAAGCTGGTGGATCATGGGCCATGCCTGCGGCGAGCCCTGAAACCAGGCCAGCGTAGCCTGAGCCTTGGAAATAACCTCTGGCGGGTTTGCCTGGTAGAGGGACAGAATCAACTGCAATGCGCGGTCAGTCAGCAGCAGCGACAACGGTGAGCGACGCCGGCAGAGCGTGAGGCGGCGTCTATAGGGCAGCGACACTGACAGTTTCCACCTGGTCAAGGCTCAGTCGGACAGGCTGCTCGTCTTGCATTTTTGCTGTCTGCTCTGCGTAGTATCATGGTGCCATGCCTAGTCACGGTCGATCGGTGCTGACTCTGGGAGCTTGGGCGGCAAGCAGGTCATAACGTCCTTGAGTGGTGGGTGGTGTGGTGGAGTGTGGTGTGTGTGGTGGTG